TAATAATATTTATGATGCGAAGCCACTGCATGAGCTGCATATAATAATACTGTTATTACATACAGCTCAGTGTGCCAAACAAATTATATAAAATAAATATAATTTTATTGAAATAATATACCCGTGGCGAACTCATCATCATGACTAGATTGATAAGAAAATTGTTTACGCTTATGGCTCAATTCTATATTATGATAAGGCGGCAATTCTTCAAAACCTTATTAAATATATGCACGGTTATTGTCGTTTATTGCGTTTCGTTCGCAGTCGATGAATAGATGGCGCAACGATGTCTATTCGTTGATCGTGTCGCGCGACAGAAAAAATACGTGACGTCGACCATTCACATTCATAAAGTTAAATGGCCGAAAAGAAGAAGAAAAGAACAAGAAGAAGAAGAAGAAGAAGAAGAAGAAGAAAAAAAGCAGAAGAAGAAGAAAAAAAGAAGAAGAAGAAGAGGTGCCTAAAATAAGGAGTGCTAGCTACGCTGTCGGTACCTGAAGCACAACGCTAAAATGTTTAATAGATGTCACTTCATGGCGAATGGGAAGAGATGACAAACACATGGCACCATTATAAGGAGACAATTTATAATCATCGTCGTTTAATAAATGGTTTTTCCATTATCGCGGGTTTTTATGAGTTGTTTGTATAGCATTTTACATTCAATAAAAACCAAGATTGTGGTAGCATTAATGAATGAACCTCAGTTGTAATTTAAATTGCTGCTTAATTTGGTAAAGTTATTTTCCGACGTAAACGATGCAACACGTTTTGTTAAACAATTTACGGTAAACCGTTTATAAACATAAACATATCTAAATGTACGTGTATAATGTTCATGATAATTAATTCAACTAAAACTTCAATGTTATGAAATTGAATTGGAAACTGCAAAATCTAGTAGGATTCCTATACTACATGAACAAAACTCCTAGCCAAAAAAACACATTTCACCGTAGTTTACATTCATAACTGCAAGCTGTTCGGAAAACTGACTGAGCAGAGCGGAGCAGCAGCAGCTACAAAACAGTGCCTTTGATTCACAATGCTAGTTATATATAGGGCCTACCTTCTATGTAATATGCCAAGAAAAAAAGCATTACCGTTTATTTTACGTATGCACATGACATACATGTTTAGGCAAGTGTAAACGTACAAACTATAAATAATGAATTTACAGGATTCTACGGTTGACACGATTTAAGGATTATGCTCTTATTCAATCCGGATTTGAAATAAATAATCATAATAAGTATTAAATGCAATGCTACGTTATAATGTTTATTAGAGGACACTTCATAACGACACGTTAAGGATAAAACACTTTAAACACAGTATCGGATTATGTATACGGCAGCACAAATTAAGCGCGTGTGATGCACTATATTATGATGATGATGAACAACATTATATTACTGCTAACGAAATTTTAGCACTAGTCCCTCATACGTACGAGAGTAGGAGCTTGCGATAAATTTTTACACGTCGCACTGCATTCTTCCTGTCCGCGTACACTTCTAGTTCAGAGTAATTTAAAGCTTTCTGCTAAGTACCAGAACGTCTATACGCAGCTCTGATATAAACCGGTATAAATGAATAAATAAATAAATAAATAAATGATTTTTTATTTTTTTATTTTTTTATATTATTTATTCATTTATTCATTCATTTATTTAATGTACCTAATTTTACAATGTTCGATTGCCGCTATTTACCTAAAAATAAATCTCATTTTATCGAGCCATAACTTTCTCATTCTTTATTTTTGAATCGGTACGCAATCAGTGTTTAGTCCTCGTCTAGCCAGAGGTCACCGTAAGGTCAACTTTCTAAGTGCGTTAAAGGTTATTGTTATCGTTATTCAAATAAAGTGATAAAGGCAATACGTCCTCGGGGAAACCTCTCTCCCTCTTTCTTTCTCTCTCTCTCTCTGTCACGCCTGCTCGCGCAACAGTTTGTAATCTGGATGCATCATCAATCGCTGATCTCTAAGCACTTGGCATTTGTTATTTAACTATCGTTTCGTTTTGCCGAAACCGAATCTCTATAAGGCAAATGGTAATCTCGGAGGCGATGACTCAGCTCTTTTTCTTCTTGAGAAATCGTGAAGCTAAAGATTGCTGCATGGGCTTAGTTTGAGAGACTGTTCACTTGCTAGTAGACGGCGCTTCATATCGCGAGGAATTTTCACGATGGAAAAAAAAACGATTTTATATTTTCCCAGTTGCATATTCACAAAAGTGCAACTTTTTCCCCCAAGAATCATGTGTGTATGTGATGTGTAAATTCGTCCGTCTTATGTGCTAATGCTGCTTTCTGCTTTTTTAGTGTGTCGTGGAATTCGCAATGTACGTCAATTTTTCCCCATTATATACCAAACGTGGGGGCAGTAACGTAAATGTTACATGCAAATTCACTTGCGCGTTTTCACGTTTTAACGCGACGCGTTTAAACAAGGATTATGGAAATACGGGGAAAAAATTACATGATTTGGTACAAAGCAATAATATTATGAGCACAAAATTGGAATATAAATACAGTAAAGTTTTTATACCTCCTTATTATTAACCGTCACTGCGTGTACCCGTGCTAAATGAACGGTATATTATTTATATTATATATATATTATTTATAGGCGCGTTTTCCGGTATATTATACATATTGTATAGTAATTCGTGCTAATAAAATCACATTCTGGAGTTCTGCAGAATTCTATCGGGAAAAATGTGTTAGATTCACACTTTACCAACGTAATAACATTCGTT